TGGTCATCCTCCTCAACCCAGTGGGAGGGACACACGTGGAGCACTGAGGGAGGAAGGGGACACCTGCCTCACCAGCCAGATTTGCCAAATCAACCATGGCAATAAATGAGTGGACAGATGTCGCAGCCAGATTGCCCTCACATCCTCTGACATTATTTCCATGAAGAGTTTTTTATGGAATCTGCACTGTCTCCAGCTTTCTCCCTGACTCCAATCAATATTATGTTATTCTTCTTTGCTTCATCTTGTAGCTGTTGGATTGATTTTTCATGGATTCTGGCTATTTTTGATATACAATTCTTTTCATGATCTCCAGCTGCAATTCAGTCTTCAAAATCTGATATTCTATCCTCTCCTTCATTCAATCTGTTGCATATACTTTCAGTGGAGGCTTTAATCTCTTGGATTCATTTGGATCTGTTTCATGGTGTTATGGTTTGTGTCTGGATGTCCCCGCAAAGCCTCATGCAGTCATGGGGTGGGCTTTTAGAGTTTATGACTGATCCATGGTCCAGAGTTGGGACTACGGGTGTGAGTACTACACCTGCCCAGGGGCGGGTAGTTAATATACAATATAAGGAAGGGAAAGAAGCTTGCTCTTCCCACCTGGTCCTCCCTTTTTGCATTTGTTGCTTTTGCTGTCTTCTGCCACCATGAATTGTTGTCCTCTGCCATATGCCACTCTGCCTTGGAGCCAGCCGAGTATGGATTGAAAACTCCACAAACTATGAGCTAAATAAACCTTTCCTACATTAATTGTGGGCATCAGGTATTTTGCTTCAGCAATGAGAAAAAAATAACTAAGACACATGGATGGATTCTATTTCTTTCCTTTCCTATGTTGGGCATTTTTATTTCCATCATTTTTCTAAGTTCATCTCTTCTTTTATCTGTCTTCTCTAATATCTTTGATTTTAAGTATCATTTCTTTTTGTACCTGAGAGATTATCTTCTCTATAACCTTTACCACTTGTTTTTTCACTTCTCTTGCTATCATTTCAGAAAGTTCCAATGTTTGACTTCTAATTTCATCTATCTCAGTGTGTTCTGGGCTTGTCCTGGGTGGGTTGAGGGGTCTAAAGGTTGCATTTTTCTTCTGCATCTTATTATTTTCTATTTTCTCTTTTTTACTTTGTTTTGTATATTGATTCTTGCCAATTCCTTATGATAGATAGCTTTATCCTTAGTATTGAGGCTTCCCTAGGAGATGTCTGCTCTTCAGGGAAGTCCTCTAGATGTAGGTGGTTCTTTAGAGCTATCCCAAAACCTACCTTCCCAATTTGTAAAGGATGCTGTGGTGGTCTACCTGTAACACCCAGCAGAACTGAATCAGCATGGTGCTGGATATGGAAAGCCCATGTAAGGATTGTTGCCAACAACAAAATAAAAAGAACTGGAGAAGAAGAGGTGTTGTCATGGGGCTACTGGTTCTCCAGGGTGCTGTTGGTTCTTCTGGAGGAGTTTGTCATGCTGGCTTTCCTGATATGAACTTGGTTGTTCTCATCACTGGAGGAGCTCAGGACCTTGTTTTCACTGAGGATGGCTGTGGTTCACTTTGGTGGGGTTGTGGTCCTTACTCTGAGTATCACTTCGGGGCTCCAGAGGGGAAGACAGTGTATAGTTCATTGTCCTGGAGAGCTTGTCACACTGGTTTTCCTGATATGAACTTGGCTGTTCTCTTCATTGGAGGAACTCGGGACCTTGTTGTCACTGAAGATGGCTGTGGTACTTTTAGGGAGAGCTCTGGTTCTTACTTTGAGTGTTGCTTCCTGGCTCCAGTGCAGATCCCTGGCACAGATCCTTCATCCCTCTGGGACAGACTTTTTAGCTTCCACCACTGACTTTGGGGCCTTCCCAGCTCACATCCTTGAAACAGGCCTGCATGAGATACTGTTATAGGCTCCCAGCCTCCAGCTGGACTCCGGGGGGCATTGCCATGGGCTCTAGGTCTTAAGCTGGACTCATGTAGGACACTGCCATGGGATCCAGGCCCTCAGCTGGTGTTCTTTGGGTCTTTAGTGTGTAGACAGATTTCCTGCACTTTTTTATATATGACTTTTTGGGTGACTATTATAAAATAATGCTATAAATTAAGTGTCCTATATTGAATTGTTTTCCTTGCAAACCCTGACTACACAGATGCAAAGTTACTATTTGGCTCAACACCCAATGCTTTGGTACTGGGCTGTGGTGATGATTATGACTCTATACCTATACAATCACAGTGCTAGCATACAGAGGAGAAAAACTGAGTATAACATGTATGATATCCTGGCTAATGTAGTACAGTTAGTAATAACAATAGTTTCAAGTACAGTTTAACTACTGACAAACTATGGTAACCATTAACCTGCTACCTCCAACCACAGGTACAAACTCTAAAGTTATATAACAAAATCAAACATATACCATGTACTTAATTTTCCCCTTACTGGAGTGATTTTCTCCTTTTCCAGGGGGCAGGGAGGTTAAGATGGGTAGGGGACAGGATAAAATGATGAATGAAGTCAAATATAGTAGAGTCAAGGCTGGAGGTCAAAAGATGATCACCTGAGTTTTGTAAAACTGGAGGATACAGGAGGGAAAGAATGAAATAGAATGCAAAGGAGAAGTCAGAAAGGAAAGAGGAAATGCTTACTCACTTGAAAGTTTAAATTCAAGAAGTAGTTGAGAATAGTGAAAGAGAAAGAGGATCAACAGAAGAACACAAAAAGAAATATAAACAGTGAAAAAAGAAGAAAGAGAAGGAAAAGAAAAGAGATCAGAGGAGAGGGGGAAAAACAGAAAGAAAAACCTCAAAAACAAAAATAATCATAAAATACAAAGCAAAATGACATCCAACTAAACAGGAAAGGGAAGGGATAGCCAATCAGACAAACAAGGGAGAATAAAAGTAGTAAAATATCTCTAGTATTTACAGTTCTGTGCTGGGCGTGGTGGCGCATGCCTGTAATCCCAGCACCTGGGAGGCTGAGGATTGTTGCAAGTTCAAGACCAGCCTGGGCTACAAAGTCAGCTCAAGGCCAGCCTGAACTGCATAAGGAGACCCTGTCTCAAAAAAAGACAAAAAAAAAACAACAAAACAGTTCTGTGATAGTGTCCATGTTAGATCCCAGAAATGTGCCATATACTCCAGTGAAGTATGCCATGGGAATTGTGCTAGGTATGGCGCTGATCTTGGCCTCTGGATGTGGGGACTGGGACTGGTCTTCTGTTGGTGGAGTTCTCTAGAGCCCAACTGCTGGCTCCGTGCTGCTGCTTAAGACACTTCCACATTGCTGGTCTTGTTGATTATCCCACCTTCCAAAGGCATGTGTGCACCTGCACACCTGGGCCAGCTGTCCTGGGTCTTGGGGTTCCAGTCAGTCCACCCACCAAAGGTGTGTGTCCATTCACTATATTTTTTATCATACTTCATAAAGGCATGAAGTAGGACTTCCACAGTCACTTCAAAAAGTGGCAAGAATGATGGAACAAGTATATGTGAAATGACAAAGAATTGTGTGAGGGATTAATAGCAATATGTCTTTTAATATAAAATTTTTTTAGACATTCACTATATATTTTGATCATTTTTGTATGATACCGACAATTAGCACAACCATTAGAAAAAAGCTAGGAGAACTGTATAGATGCAAACACTGAAGTTTTTAAGCCGTCAAATTAATGCCAGAGGCTATCTCCAGAGTTCTTATGTGGGAAAAAGGCCCTGTAAGTTGAATTTTTGTTGTCCAAAAAAAGCATTCTTAATCTACTATTTCTTTAAAGTACTAGGCAAAGTGTGTTGCAAATTCTGACTAAACAGAATTTCTCTAACCTGGAGAGAACAGTAGCTGGAAGAAAAAAAGATTAGTCTGAAGGTGACAACTCAGAGCAATAAAATCAAAGCAGACAAGGCCTGAGATGATTATCCAGATATATAGATCTCAAAACTACACTTTATAGTTGTGGGTTAAATAAGCCTTATTAATGTTCTACTCAGCAAATTGAGTCTGAGGATTGTGATTATATTAATTTTCTAACACTCCCACTATTTGAAAAACAGAAATTCAGAACTCATTTTTCATGTGACAGTTTTGTGTTTTTTAAGCTAATTAATTTATGCTTATGCTTCTATGCTTTCTAGTATTCACAAAGGCATAGTTATTGTCAATGTATGACCATTTTTGACACTTTCAGAATCTTTGAAATAATATCTAACAATCAAGTTAATGATCATATTGCCAGTAAGTACAATAGTTTTTTCAAGCATTCATATATCAGTTTTGCTGGCAGATCAGTCACCTTAACTTTAGGGATAGTCATTCCTCTCTTATGTCAATGCCACTGCATAAAATACCCAAAGATAATTAATTCTACCTATTCAAAACAAACTTCAGAAGTATGCTCATTTTCACTCAGATATCTCTTTAAGTATAATTAAGTTTAAATGTTTTTACTTTCAAACAAATAATGCAATATACATATCTCTATCTATCTACCTATTATCATCTCTACCTAGTTCTAAACTCAACAGTTATTCTTCCACGAGTTCAGAAGTTTTATGCTGCAATGTAAATATTTATCAATTACAATATCTATACATTACAGAGAATATTTTTATTTTTATAATTTCAGAGTAGAATTCCTTAAGATTGTCAAAGTTTTAGCTAGAAATAATACCAAGTACAAGTAGGTTCTGGCTCACTTACAGTAGTGGAATGGAATTTAATAAAGTTCCAATACTACATTTTAATGTCCAAATTTCTTATTGTCTTTTTTAGTTGACAAATATGTGCTGTGCAGCACAATAGCAGCAGCAGAACAGCTGGGTGTCCTTATCAAGCACAAAGGAAACAACAGCACATGCTGTTAAGTGTATCTGGTTGCCTAGAAATGGCAGTACATGCAGATTTATTCCCTGTTATAAATTAGAACAATTATTTCTCTGGAATTTACATTTTATTCATAAAAAGTCAAACTTCCTGCACATTAAAAAAGAAGGTTTTCAAAAAGGATATCTTCCCTTTCTCTGATGATCAGTTCATTCTGTTCTTCCAACTGCCTGATCTTCTTTTCAAATGATTCCTGCTCAGCTTTCAGTCGTTCTTCTGTCACTTCCTTTTCTTCACTTACTCTAAAAAAAATATTCAAATGAAGGATAGGAGAAAAAATGCCCATCAGGATAAAAATATGTGCCTACAGCTACAGTTTACCAAAATTAAATTTCTTCAAAAAATGTGCTGGAATTTCTTCAAGCAGATTTTGTGCTTCCTTGTTTTGTGGTTCTGGGGACTGAACCCAGGGCCTTTGTGCTTAGTTGCATACCCAAGCCTTTATATTCTTTAGTTAATTATTTCTGAGACAGAATCTCACTAAATTGTCCCAGCTGGGCTTGAATTTATAATCCTCCTGCCTCGGCCTCAGAGAGTGCTGAGATTATAGGTGTGCTTGTGTTTTGTTTTTTAATTTAACCTTTTGTAAAGCAATATGGCAATTTCCTCATCTTGGTAACAAAATATGCATGAAATCTTTACTTCAACCAAATGTATGTAAATTTTACTTCAATCTGAAGAAACAAGAATGTTTTCAGTCATCACAAAGTATTTTCTATATCAGTCCTACACAGAACATAGGTGCTGAATTATAATCCAGAGCAGAAAGAAGGCTAAAAACACATTTAATTCTTTATTTATCAACATTACCAATTTGTTTGGACTTAGATTCCTTTCATATTTTTAGTTAAATTCTGTAAAGGAAATGGAAATCATATATATATTAAATATTTTACTAAATATGTGTATGAAATATTACTTTTTACTTGGTACTGATACCCTGCATCCTTCAGTAATGCACAAAAAAACTGGACTGGAATAAAAAGACATCATTAATAGGAGGCTTTTCACTATACTCACTCTTAGTCCAGAAAGGTTATAAATTTAAAAACATGAACCAAAAACATCTTTATCATTAATATTTAACTCTGAAAAGCATCCCAACTTAATTATACCAAAAAAGAATGGTTTCTGACAAGAGCACATAGGGACAAAAATTGTTTTAAAAAACTCTAAACATGACCAATATTAAAATTGACAATTCACCAAAGTATATATTAGAACAACCCTAATTTTCATGTCGCTCTTAGTACAGAGATGTTAATCCTGAATTTCTTTCCCACTTGTACTTATACAACATGTCCAGAAGATCTCACAGATACAGGCACAAGTCATATCTATAAGGAATGTAAACTTCTTGTTTAAGCTACTAAACTTAGACTCCTTAAAGAACCTTATTCTACCAGAACAAGTTCTGAATAATATGAGCCCTACAGGCTTTCTTTCTTGGTGTCCTCTGACAGACATATTGAAATCAATGAAATAACTAAATGAAAATTGGAATTCTGAATGTTCTAGAGTTGATTTCCTGTCTCTATTTGTCAGCTTTCTCATAGCTGAGACACAATACCTGACACCTACAAATTAAAGGATAGGCTGAATTTGTTCATAGTTTCAGTCCATAATTGGGTGGCTCTAAAGCAGAGGCATCAGGATGGAAGGATGTCTTTGAGCAAAACTGCTTATTTCATGACGGCCAAGAAGCAGAGGAGAACAGTACTAAGCAGAAGGGGGAGGGACGTGGCATAGACCCCAATGCCATGCTTCCATGATCCACCCACATATCCCTAGAAATATACTCCACCAATCCCTGGGATAGATCTCAAAGCTAATCAAGTTGCAATTCTACTCTGCCACATTATCTTTGAAATAATGTGTGAAAAATAATTTCAAATAATTTTTAAGTAAAAATAATTTGTGTACAGCACACTGTAATGCTCAATAGATTTCTTTCTTCTGCCGCATTATGACATTCAAGCAATTTCCCCAAGCCATATTCCAAGACCCTTCTTTTTTAGCAGGGTAATCTCTAAGACTGATATGTTCATAAGTAACCCAGGAAACCAAACAAACATACACACATGTGGAGGACTTATACTCTATTATCAAGTTGTTATCAAGTTTATACTCTATCTTGCCCTCTATATTTCAGTCTCTACAATGCCTTCTCTTGTCATTACTCTCAAGTAAACTGGCATTAACATTTTTCACAGTAACTTTGGCAAAATCTGCTTACCTCTCTGAGCAACCTTACTCTCATCCATAAAGAAAAAATGGTAGACCAAACAATTGTATAATTCTTTCTAGGTGAAGTTTTAGAATTTTCTTCATTACACTGTAAATATCCTGATAGTATATACATACTTTTTATAAATATAGTGAGCATTTGTAAAGAAATAAAGTAAAAAAAAATTAAAATTAAAATTAAAAAAAAGAAATAAAGTCAAACATTTGATCGTGGGACAATGCATACAAACAATATTATAAGCAAAAGCAATGCCCACAGAATGAGAGAGGAATATGTGCATATAAGAAATATTAAAAAGTATAAAGAGGCAAAATTCAGCATGAAGATATGAAATGAAGTCATGAATCTATAGGCTTTTACATAGACAAAGACAAAATGACTTAATGATATATCTATATAAGGAAAAAATAAACGATGTCAAGGTGAGAAATGAGGTAGCAAAATTTTAAATGAATAAAATCTTAAAAACATGACTGAAGAAGAAAATCATGAAGTCAATAAGAGATTACATTTCATTCATTTAGAAATACTTGCTGACTGGCTACTGTTGCCAAATAAAAATATTTGCTATTAAGAAAAAAATAATCACAATAATTTTATTTAGTATAGCATATCGAAAAGAAAACTAAACAAATGTTCTTATAGTTTAAATCCCATTTATAAAACTCATATAAATATGAAAAGTGCCCCAAAGACTTGTTTCTTCACCAAGCAACGCTAGGGGGCCATAAAAAAACAATTAACAAGAAAGCAGACTGCCAAATTTAACTGAACATTAATCTAAATGTTATCAGAGCACTTGGCCCGGTCAGAACACACAGATGTACCCCAACTTATACTTCCTTATTTTGGTAGACTTGAAGAACCCTGAAAATCTAGTATCATCGAGGGGGAAAATGCTTGTACAGTTACATTTCATAATGTCAGAGTCTATGATGAGCTTCTCTCAAAGTTTAAAGATCTCTAGCCAGATAAAATTATTCTTTTCAAAATGTGGCTTCTGGAGTATGTTTCAAATATTTGTTGCTACACTATTAAATAGGGCTTTAAAAACTTTTACGTTGTTATGATTAGATTATTCTTCAGTAACTATGTTCTGGAAGGTTATAAAATTAAAAAGCTACATTAAGAACAAAGAGTAACGCTTTCTCTGTAGGACTATTTAAAGATATACATGGCTTCTCTGTGGTCCATTTGTACAGTTAATATGACCAAGTACATTACTACAGAGTTTAAATATAGAGCACATGGCAGTAAAGCAAACCTAAGATTTGGTATCTATTTTGAAATCTATCTTGTTTAATTTACGCTCAGTTGCTCAATAATATTGCAGCAATGAGATATGTCCAATAATTTAATATATGATTTAAATTTTTCACTTAAGCATTCTCAGACTATGAAAGTAACATAAAAAGGTCCATACCCTCTGTACTGCAATAAGTTAGTCAACAAAATGAAAATCTAAACACAGGAGAGGGAATTACTTAATTAAAGGATAAAAAGGTTAAAACTGAACAGGAGGATATTTCTGGTATTGGTTTGTTAATTATTTATAAGGAAGACAATAACCTGTTCACAAATCCCTATTGTCATTAATAATTTAATACCTCAGATCATATCTCAAAAACTTCCACAAAATCTATACTTATCTAACAACAAAAAAAGTACTCATATCAGGGCCTGGGGGATGTAGCTCAGCGGCAAAGCACCTGCCTGGCAAGCGCAAGGTCGTGGGTTTGGTTCCCAGTACTGGAGAAAAACCAAAAAAAAAAAAAAAAAAATACTCATATCCTTAGAGAGGGTGTTGGTATTGGAAATTGTAACAAAAGTAATGAATTTCTCTTTAAGTCTTACATTTTACCTTAAAAATTCCTGTATACTTTATACTTTTCTGAATAAAAGTCTTGCCAGATTTAATATAAAAAGTCTCTGGCCTTTACCTGTTCTAATTTTTTAGTAAAACTAATGTTTTAGAAGAGATTTATTTTATAACTTTGCATATCTCAAATATTCTTACAGATATTCCAGGAATGAATACTTTTACACTAAGATGAAAGACAAGGCTAAGATGGCAAAGCTTCTCTCCCAGAGAGAAACACAGCTTACTGAATAGTCAACCAATTAAGTTTCTTCCCCATTTAATATCTTCCAGGTGGGAGCTGGGTATGCTAGTCATATTTTATAATGAATATCAACTTGGTAAGATATGGAAAAGGAAGAGATTTCATAGGAAACCTGGCAAACAAAGAAAGGACATACTGCTTTCAAGCAAAGTCATGGTGAAAAGAAGGTATTTTATCATTTAAAAATATTTCAATGGATGCTAGGTGGTGTCGCATGCCTATAATCCAAGCACTGGAGATGCTCAGGCAGGAGGATCACTGTGAGTTCAAGACCAGCCTATGCTACATGGTGAGTTCAATACCAGCCTGAATAGCATACAGAGACCCTGCCTCAAAAAAAAAAAAAAAAACATCAATGGCATCACCTTAATTCCCTCTTGACAAACTCAAAAAAAGTTATTTGGCTTTTATTTAAAAGGTACTAACTAAAGGAACACAGGTGCTTTCAGAAATCACAGACATAGCAATCTATGTTCAAAATAGGGCTAATAATTATAAATCAGTATGTCTTATGAATATTAACACCAAAATCCTCAACAAAATAGCAGCAAACAGAATCTAGGTACATAAAAAATGATCATACCAGGACCAAATGAGACTTTTCCCAGGAATACAAAGCTGGTTCAACATCTAAAAATGACCAATAGATCATATCAACAGAATAAAAGATAAAAACTACATGATTCTAAGTAGATTTAGAAAAACATTTGAAAAACTATCTAACAGACTCATGGTTTAAAAAAATAAAGAAGGAAACCTCTTCAATCTGAGAAAGGCCAGGTATGAAAAACCCACGCCTAATGTCATACTTAATTATGAAAGATTAAATGCATTTTTATAACAACCAGAAAGTACAACCATCCAGATTATCTATTTGAAGATGGATAAACAAAACATGGCATTATATATATGATATTATATATATTCAAGAGTAAATTATATATATTCATTCATTATATATATTCAGGAGTAAATAGAAATGAGGCACTGACAGATGCTACCTACTACACGGGTAAACCTTAAAATCATTATGCTAAGTTTAAAAAAACACTAGTTTAAGACAGCGTATTGTACTAACTCCATTTATAAGAAAAGTCATTAAGACAGAAAGTAGAATAGTGATTACCGTATTAGTCAGCTTTCCCTTTGCTGAACTCAAATACCCAACACTCACAACTTAAAGGAGAGGTTTAACTTGGCTCATGTCTTTAGGGAACTCAGTGCATGGTCACCTGGTTTAGTGCTTAGTTCATGGTGGCCAGGAAGCAGAGCAGGAGGACAGCACCAGACAGGAAGAAGCAAGTGACCATGTACGGCACCCAAGGTTATGCCTTCATGACCCACCCAGACACACCAAGAAATATGCTTTACTGATCTTGAGGCAAGCAAGTTGACATAATTAATGTTAACCATCACAGTTACCAAAGGTTATTAAAGGTTGGTAGAAAGTGGGTACCAGGTTTCATTTTGGTGTAATGAGAATGTTATGAATATTAAACTATTCACTATATTCCCTCTAAGGAAAGATTTTTCTTCTTTCCCATTAAGTAAAATATAAGGGGTTAAAAACTCTAAGTGAAATAAGAATTTGGAGATAAATGGCAGAGTGCATAAATTCCCTATATTATCAAAATGGCAATTGATATATTAAAAATGGAAATGACAGAAATGAATTTGAATACAGAAAGATTAGCTATAGGTAAAGCTGATCAAAATATATACTACTTAAAAATTTGAAGAATAGAATACATTTTTCAAGGAACAAAGCGTAAGTGGTAGTGGTATGACATGTAATGTTCAAAGTCAATCAAATATCTAATCATTGAAATACATGTTTTAAGTTGGTCTTAAAAAAAACTTTATTGGTTATCTCTTTCAGTTCAGGCATATATTCATTACTGCAGCAGCCATAATCTAGATACCAAAATCTAATTAGAATACTGTGGGAAAAAAATTATAGCCCAATCTATCTAAAAATGCAGTTTAGAAAAATCCTTAAAAACACACCAAAATGAACCCAGACATATAAATAATACCACATCCAAACTGGGTTTATTATAGGAAAGCATGATTTGTTTAACAGTAGAAAATGGATGTATTTCATTATGTTAACAAAAAAAAGATAAACCTGACAGAGTCATCAATAAGTGAAGGAAAAGCATCTGTCAAGATCTAATGTATTCACAACAAGAATTCTCAACAACCTAGGAACTGAAGAAACTACTTCAATCTAATAAAGAGCATCTATGAAAAAAAGTGTACCTATAAGGGTGAACAAACTGTTCCTGATCTTGTGCTTCAAGTATAAAGAAAGAATGACAGCTACCACTATCTCTTTGAAAGGAGGCTGGGGTTGTGTACAGGGTTGTAAACTGGATGTGTGCTGGAGGATCGCAAATTCAAGCCCACCTGGCAACCTGGTGATTTCGTGAAACCCTGCACCAGAATTTAAAAAAAAAAATTTTTTTTCTTTTTTAATGCTGGAGATGTAGCTCAGTGCTAAAGCCCCAGTTTAAATCCCAAGTACAAAAAAAAGAAAAAAAAAAAAAAAAAAAGAAACTGTTAGAGGTCAAGGGGCTTCTGGTAGAGCAGAGATCCCAGCTGTGTCGCTCCTGAGGTTACAACCTAAGGGTGAGCAGCAGGCTGTCCATGGGAACCTGGGTGCAGCTCGGTGCCCGGCACAGGTTGGGCTTCTTGGTTTTTTTTTAGAACCTGGAATCAAACTCATGACCTCAGGCTTGCCAGGCAGGCACTGTGCCGCTGAGCTAAATCCCCAGCCCAGGTCAGGCTTCTTCACACCTGGTTACCAGGGACCTGCATGCTCCCCTGCCTTGCTGACCGCAGGAGGACAGGTGATGGTCTCTCCTCTCCTGTGCTGCACGTGTTTGGCAGATTTCCTTCTTGAGTAACTTTCCCCTGGTCACACACCTGCCAGTACAAATGCAAAGCTAGAACCTCTGGCTCCCTATGTTCCAATAACTGATTTTCCCCCTAGTGCTGCCCCTAGCTAAAAAAAAAAAAGAAAGAAAGAAAGAAAGAAAGAAAGAAAGAAAGAAAGAAAGAAAGAAAGAAAGAAAGAAAGAAGGCCATAGTCAGTTAAACAACTTCCTAGGAAGTAAAATGTATACAAATTGGAAAGAAAAATTTTTAATGGGCAGATGACATTATGTATATAAAAATATTATGGAATTTATAGAATACATATTTAAACAAGCTAATTTAGGAAAAATCACAAGACTGTGATAGGTGTTCTATAAAATATGACCCAGTGCTTCCTGCCTACAGATATTCACGTCCTTGTTTAATTCTCAGGTTGGAGCTTCAAAATTTGATAAAATATTACATCTAAGATTAAGTTACTAATAGATAGTGACTTCTGTCTTGCTTATTACATTTGCTTAATCTGATGAAAACTAGTTCACAAGGAATGTTGAAGGTACTGCGTGATTTCTTTTTTTCTTTCTTACAGATTTTATTGGTACATTTTAGATATACATATTGGTCACACTCATCATAAGAGAATTTGTACATGTATATGATATAACTTGATTCTTTTTTGTGATTTCTTGATGCTTATAATAAATTGGAAGAAGAGAGTGGCTGAGGAAACAATAAAATGAGCAGGAACTTCATAATTTTAAAAATTGCCACCCTCTCTGTTAGCAAAACATGCTAAGATTAAATGTCTTCCAAACACATTTCCAGCTCAGGATACCACCAGGAAAAACATGGCCTAAAGATAAAAGCAAGTATGAAACTTCTGTTGAGACTTCAGAAAGATTAAAGTTGATACCTCAATACAAACATACAAAAAATGTGTTAAAGAAGTTAAGGTTAGCCTCAAAATTCCTTTAAGTAACAGAACCCCCAGGACGCTTTCCATTGTTTTAAGCTGCTAAATTTTGTGACAATATATTTGGAAGCCACAGATAATTAGTACAGATTAGGCTGTTTAACACCTGTGCCCTAATCACATCTATTTCCATTACTCAGTCTCTTTAGCACGTTTCCCTCTGTTTTCTTGACTTTTTCCTATGTCTCATACTTTATTGATATCTGGACATCTTGGGTAGTCTAGTGGAGACTCAGGTACAAATTTTGAATGCTCAGCTCTGTAATACTCAAAACTTTCCCTTTGGGTAGGTTTTTAGTGTAGAGATTGTGTTAATCAAATCAGCTATTAGACTGGTTTAAGGATTTTGTTGTTATCATGACCCTCAGTGTATCATAAGGGTCAGTTCCCTAGGCCTTAGCCATAACTTTCTTTCAGGTAGGCCAGATGTTATTTTCTAATATCCCTTCCATCCTCAGCATTATGTCTTCTTGCCTATAGGGTATGTCTTCATGAGTTTCTACTTTTACTAGATACTGACTTGTTAATCTGGTGGTGGAGATCTTGGATGGGCTAGATATTTTTGTTGTTATTATAAGAATTATGTTTATGCTAATCAATCCCTGTATGCTTGGGTCTTTGAAATACTCCTATCCTTTTTAATAGTTCTGAATCAGCATGTAACTCTTCCCTCTCTGTGTGTTTTTTTGTCTGCCTAACTCCCTCCACACATGGTTTCTGTGAATGCCCTAAGGTCAATACTTTATGTTGTCTATGTTTATGAACTTTAATTTTGTTATAGATGAGAGAGAAGAAGGATCTGGAAAATACTTCATGTCCTTTCCATAGCTACTGTAATTTTTTGGCTTGCCAAGAATTAACATAAAATATCACTCAAGCATATTTAGTTACCTTTGCTGTATCTTGGGTTAATAACTTTAAAAATTATCAGACCCACACCAAGTACAGTACTTCAGCAGAATTCTCCTTTATCAGAGATCTCACCAAGCAGGAACAAGGAAGAAACAATCTTCAAGAGAATTCAAGGGCTCCTTATATTTGCAGTCCCAAGGTTCCCACGCTATCACCTGCCCGTGCTATCATTGCTGCCTATTCCATCAAAATCTAACCCATTTCTAGCTACGTCCAACTCAGATAAGCTAGTAATAACATCTGTCTTTCACTATCAGCACAAGTCTCCTTAGATTTCAGGTTAGGTAGATATTGTTAGTTCTCAGTTCTTAGTTTGTTTCAAGATATCCTGTGCTTACAATTTGTTATTTGTTATTATAAGACTGAAGAATATCCCTTAAGTCATGTAGACTTACATATATTTACCTACTTGCTTACATACTTGCTTTTGCTCTTATATTCTTAACATCTCTCAATTTTCAAAACTGGAGTAATTTTAGCAACAAAACATAACAATATTAGATTATAATCCATAAAACTAAGATATTTCTAATTACAACAGGGGAAAATAACTTCGCAATGGAGGAACCTGGCAGACACCACTTTAACAAGATGATCAAGATTAGTATCATCAGTAACAAGATAATTTCAGGTAGCCTATGACAGAACCACATCATTTCTATGATATTTTTGCCATAAATGCAAAATCTGAATCTAATTGAGAGAAAACAGAAAAACCTGTATCAAGGGACATTGTACAAAATATGTAAGTAATATTCTTTATGTGTCAAGGTTATGAAAGACTGAAGAGTTATCACAGATTCGAGGAGACTAAGAATTGACAAATGCATTGTGTGATCCTGAATTGGACACTGTATCAGAAAAATCTTATTAGTGAAATGACATTGGAGAAATTATGAAGAAAGCCTGAAATTTAGTCAATACCACTGCACCAAGGTTAATTTCTTAGTTATGACAATTGTACTATCTAATGCAAAATGTATGGAAAGTTGAGTGAAGGATATGTGGAAGTTCTATCTTTGTATCTTTTCTGTAAGTTTATAGTGAAACCCCACCCAAATATAAGTAAATATATGTATGGGAAAGGGGGAAGGAGAAGAAAAGTAGTGTCAAATACAGATTTTACTTTACCTGCAGTTTTATTTTTAGAATAAGCTAGTTTTAATATTGTTCAATTTCAAGTTATTAAAATTACAAGGAAAAAAACATGCTGCAGAATGAAAAAAGCTGCAGTTTTCTTGTCTTCTGCAAGAGTTAACATAAGATATCTCTCAAGCATACTTAATTACCTTTCTTATATCTTAGGTTAACTGCTCTAAAAACTATCAGAAAAAATTTAGTATAAGATGACAAAACATGATTATCTCTTCCACAAATGATTGGAAAAAGATCACACAGCAAATGGTCAATAATTGTTTTTCAAACAAAACCTGAAAATTAACATGTTGAGGATAAATACCTTCACATGAAGTACTAAACTGAGAATACTCAATTCCCAAGTCTTAAAATTCAAGTCATAGTTCCGGTTTTTGTGCAGCAACCTAACTAAATACTCATGAGTATTTGTTGGCTGAAGGGAGCCTTCTCCTATTTCACTCAATCTTTGTACCTTTCTTCTATTGATTTTAGGTCTAAGATTTCTGAGTTCATTACAATGGGGATATAAAAATGAACTAAGCATATACTGTATACTAATATACAAAATACATATGTAATTGACGTGGATTTTCACTTTTTACTGTGAAACTTTTCATTGTATTAAGTAACATGTGCCTGAGGGTGTTAAGTTCCCAACCCAGAGGCAACCACCATTAACTTATTAGGTACTCTATTGCAAAAAAATTATACATAAACAAGAATAAATGTATGTCTATGCATGAACAAATAAGTATTAGTATAAATGTAAAAAAAGAACTCAAGGCCCCGCGCGCCCTGCACCGAGACAGCGAGTACTCCGGGAGCTGCAGGGCTCGTGTGTTCGAGTCTGTGCTCAACCCACACCACGATTCCCAGCTGAAAGGCGCGGAGAGAGCCAAGTATTTCCCATCTAATCCCTGAGGGCAGAACGCATGAACAAGGACCCTGCGGACATTACAGACTGAGTCGCTGCTGCAGCAGAGAGGAGGCCCAAACTGAGAGGACCCGGGGACTTCTCTGGCTGGGGGCTGGGCGAGCAGGCTCTCTGAGCTGGGCGAGCAGACTCTCTGAGCCCCGTGCGCCCTGTGCTGAGAGAGCAGGTACTCTGGGAGCTGCAGGGCCCATGGATTCGAGTCTGTGCTTTGCCTTTGCCCAGACCCTCTAGAGAGTTGAAGACTGGGGAAGTCTGTGACTGATACACATCTGGGCTGCATCTGGTTCCTGTATGAGTCCTGAACTGACTGGAGACATAGATTTAGGTGGTTCACAAACTGTAGACCCTGCAGTTTGTGTCTGAATTATGCTTGTACCCTAAACTGCCTGGAGACATAGGTCCACTGGACCGGGATTGTTGCACCAGTGCAACCTGAGTCAGGTCGTGCACGTGCACTGAACTGCAAGAGGACGCTGGATCAGAAGGGTGGCCATCAACTGACACAAGTGCCCACGTCTCAGAATGGGGATAACTAGATACAAATAAAAAACTGCCGGAAAACCCGAGACTAAGTGGCACTAATCAGAGGTCACCCAGAGGCAAACCTGAAAAACAGGAAAAATAGGAACACTAGTGGTCTTGGCTGAGCAGCTACTGAAGTGGGAAAATGAGCTTTCTGCAACCGATAGCAAACATGTCAAAACAAAAGACTAAAACACAATCCCAGAACTTCACCCCAATCAGAACAAGTCTAGGAGACATCAGCATAGGAGAACTTGGTAATCACATGCCTGAAATAGCTGAAATGATTGCAATGGAGGTAAAGAAACAACTGCATAAGGCCATAGAAGAGATGAGATCAGAAATAATCTCTTAAGCAAAAAGTGAAATGACAAGAATAATGAAAGACATGCTCAAAAAGTCTGAAGAAGAAATATATAAGAAAATAGAATAACAAAGGCAAGAGGCAGAAGCGTTCAACGAAAAATATAGAAAGGACTTAGAATATATAAACCAGACTCTAAGAGACTTCCAGGAAAACAAAGCTGCCACTGAAAGCTACGAAAACCACTTGAATGAAGCTGAAGATAGAATCTCAGACCTTGAAGACAGCATGGGAGCTAGCAACCATGAAAGAAAGGATCTTGTAAAAATAGCAAGGATCCAGGAAAAGTCAATTCAACAGCTGCAAGATGAGGCAAAGAGGAATAATGTACGAATTATAGGAGTCAATGAAACAGCAGGAAGCAACACGACTGACATTAAAAGAGTATCTGCAGAAATCATAGCAGAAAATTTCCCAAGCACGGAAAAAAACCCTGATATACAAGTAAATGAGGCACTTAGAACTCCAAACAACCACAACCAAAATAAAACTACACCCAGACATGTAACAGTCAAGTTCCCAGATCTCCAGCAAAAGAATAGAATATTAAAAGCTGCTGGAGAAAAGAAACAGATTACCTATAAAG